GGGGGGGGGGGGGGGGGGGGGGGGGGGGAAGCGTCTCTCCTCAAGCAAAAACGGTAGTGGGGGGCTGGCTGGCTTTCAGGGCGCCCCCCCCCCCAAGAGTGGGGAGCGGCCACTTCCACGGGGAGAGGGGTTTGGGTGGGGAGGGGGGGCTCCCAAGGGGCGGTTTTTGGCTGGCCTCAGAAAGCTGAAGGGGTTGGGGGCGGATAGGGCTTGGAGAGGAGACCACCCGGAAATATTACGGCTTTTCTTTAACCCGCATTTAGCATCCTATGCATTGTAGGTACGGTCCAAAGCAGCTTTAACTGTGGTCGTCCTGTTTTATTACCCCGTTACTTATTTTCCCCTCCCTGTTATTATTATATTGTTGTTTTTTTTAAAAAAAAACCCTTTGTTTTTACAACCCTGTCATTTATTTATTTATTTATTGGGTTTATATTGCCACCTATTCGCCCAATGGCGACTCAAGGTGGCTTTACACAATGTAAACCCATATTTAAAATAAAAATAATATTTTTTTAAAAAAAAATCAATAAAAAAAACTAACAAAAAGAATACAACAAATGAATAACGTACAATAGAATAAAATCTGGAAAAATAAAAAATAACACCCACCCCCAACTCCCACCCCATCCGCTGCCCCGGCAACAGCGGGTCACTCCATGAGCCATTGGATGGGGCTCCATCCCGCTCTGGGTTCCCCCAGCCCGATGGCCGAACCAGGCGTTCTTCAGAGCCTTCCGGAAGAGTATTAGAGACTGAGATCCATTCTAATCTCTGGTGATCATGATATTCCGGAGAGAGGGAGCCACCACGGAGAAGGCCCTTCCTTCTGGGTCTCCCCCCCCCCCCCCCGGTGTTTCCCCCCGGGGGGGGGGGCCCCGCATCCCCCCCTTCCCCCCCCCTGGGGGGGGGGGGTGGGTGTAACCATCAGGAGACGGTTATCCCTCAGATCACCTGAGGTCCTAAGCCACAAAGGGCTTTAAAGGAGACAACCGGCACCTTGAATTGCATCCGGAAGCAAATCGGCAACCAATGCAGCTCCCGCAGGAGAGGCGACACATGTGCACACCGGGGTTTGCACAAAACCATGCGGGGCCTCTGCATTTTGCACCAACTGGAGGTTCCAGATGCTTTCAGGCACAGCCCCATGTAGAGCGCATTGCAATCATCGAGACCGGCCATCCGAGCCCTTCCAAGCAATGAATAGGATTACATTTAAACTGAATAGAGGTCGGCTTTGCAAGCCAATGAAGCTTCAAAGAACCACCAGTTGCTGCAGCCAGTGGGCAACTCTGTAACTGTCCTATTCAAACCATTCTGTGTCTATGTGGCAAGGCATATATCCTTTAACTTGAAGGGGAATATGTTCCTGGAGCACCTTTCCATGTAAATTCTCTCCATTGCACATGTGTGTGATTTCCATCGTCCGTCCAGAATCCCAGGTGGCTTTTAAAAGTCAGTGTCTCGTTTTACATTTAATGCCACAGCTTCAAGGACTTTCTTTTTGTAATCTCAGCTTTTTGCTTTATCAACAATATTCCAACTTGAATTCCTGAGTGGGGAGGAAGAACAACATATTACAATATATTACAAAAAGAATCCCTCAAATCATGTGGAATAGAAATAAGCTACAAAGAATGGGACACTTCCCTCTGCTGGCTGCTTTTTAAACAAAGTTAAGTTTAAACTTGTACAACTAAAATCAGTTTTCAGGAGAGGCCTGTGGTGGGGAATTGATGGGAAGTCGGATCTGGATATAAAAGAAAGGAGAAATAGTGCTTGTTTTCCTGCTACTAAAGCCTTGTGGCAAAGGACCACAAATATGTGTTTGGTTGTCTTGCAGTTTTGCAATTCAGTCCAGGTACAATTTTATCCGACGTGTATCTCCTTACTCAATGATCCATCCTGATTTGCAGAAATATCTAAATAAGTAATTTTAGGGAAAATATACAAACACGCAATGACTGCAATGAGTGAAATTATGGAAGCAGTTACAAGGGAAAGTGGAACCGATTACGAACGAGGACAGTTGAAGCAGCAACATGGAGGCCTCAGATTTTCCCTGGAAGAATTGGAGAATGGAAGTTAACCCACTTTTTTCCCCCAATTAAAATCCTCTAACCCAAAGTGGCGCGAAATTGTGTGACATTTTACCTCCCTGCCATGTGATAGAGCAGTATTTCTCAACTTTGGCAATTTTAAGGTGCGTGGACTTCCAGCTCCCTGAGTCCCCCAGGGCTTGGCCTTATAAAAATCCAAGTAGGATTGGACTAGGTTGACCTTTGGATAGGACCCCACCAGGAAATCCCAGGGCTCCAGGATATATGTGGAAGGGGAATAAAATAAACCCCTAAATAATCCAACCATTTTTATTAAATCACCAAATTTAACTTCCGAATTGAAGTCTCAGAAAAGACCATTTGATACTAAGTCTCAGGTAAGCCTCTACTCTTGATCTACAAACAGCTTATAACGGGGAAGTTAAAAGGCCCTCTTTTTACACATTTGATTATTCTTTACATGGGTTAGCATGTTGTGTGAATGGGAGGGCCGTAATTCAGCCTCATTCTGTGGTCTTAATGTCAGGTATTTAATTTGGGAGCCCACAGAACAAACCTCGGGTAACTTCCACAGCCATGTTACACTGCGAGTGTCACTTGTTCTTCTATTGATGCACGCTGCCAGTGGGAATGTTGGTTTTGCAGAATGAAACAAGTTCCTCTGATATTTAACGTTTCAGAGGCTGTGCGGTGCACCAGGTGGGCACTAGGTGGCAGGAAAGAGCTTTTCCACTCCAGGAATCGGTGGGATGCATGTTTTTAACAGGCCGGAGCCTTGCTAAACAATCAGCCTCCAAACTGACCCTCTGAGATTCAGCCCGGGCGGCTTTTGCGCTTCTTTCTTGTCCCTGGTCAAAGCCAAAGCTCTCCTCCTTTTCATCCATCCACGCCAATTTCCCCCACCCCCAACACGTTACTTAAGATGACGCAGGCTCTGTAATCCACCGGGAATCCGATCAGCAGCAGCAGCAGCAGCAACATCTGGCTGGGTCACTCAGCCACGGGATTAGCGCCCCACCGGAGAGGACCAGAAGGGGGAGGGGCTCAGGGCTCTGCAGCCCCCTTGGGAGCGGATCCTGGGAGATCCCCGGCCGTTTCCCTCCTTGAGCGTTTGGAGAGCAGCCTCCAGGCCGTCCTCGAAGTTACGGCCGCCATCCAGCCCCAAATTGCTGGTGTTAAGTGAGACTCGCGTTTAAGTGAGTTTCTGCGGCTTTGCCCCACTTTACGGCCTTTCCTGCCACTGTGGTTAAGTGAAACCCTGAAGATGTTAACGTTGGTGACATGGTGGTTCTGCGAATCTGGCTTTGCGTGTCAGAAGGCCGCCAAAGGGGATCACGTGACCCCAGGACACTGCAACCGTCGTAATTGCGAGTCAGTTGCCAAGCATCTGAATGATCGTGTGACCGTCGGGGGTGCTGCAGCAGCCGTAAGTGTGGAAAAACGGTCAGAAGCCACTCTCTTCGGTGCCATTGTGATGTGTCACTAAATGAACTAACTTGAGGATTACCTGCAGAGCGATGCAAACCAGGCGGACATTAAGGGCCATCCTAATGCCAAGCACAGCCCTCAGCTCTTGCATGGGCAAATGGGCAAGGCCCGAAGGCTCCGAAGCCGCTCTCCAAAGGCCCCTGGAGATTGCCCGCCATCCAGGTCACGCTTGTCCTGAACGGGCTTTTCCTCCAAAAAGCCACCGGGCTTCCCTGGTGTTTCCTTTCAAAGGAAACCAGAAAAGTTTCTCAGAGGAGAAGTGAACAGTTTGCCAAGAAAACTCCAAGGAAGCCCGGTGGCCTTTTGGAGGAAAATCACCTTCAGGTCTCCAGGCCGACGAAAACCTATTTTTTTCCCACCAATACAGATTTGAAGTTGAACAGGGCAGATAAGGGCAATGCGGGGGGGGGGGGGGGGGGGCGGATTGACTGAAAGCAAGCAAGGCGGTTAAAGGCAAAAGGCTTGGAACTTGGGGTAATAACTCCCTGCGCAGCCCCCCCCTCCCTTTCCTTCAGCCTCCCAATCCTGCCTTTATGTTACTGAATGGCCACTCCAGGGTTGGGACCGACTATCCCTGCAGGCTTTGGGCCATTCTTTTTGTTCCTGCCCCCCACCCACCAGCCTGCCCAGTTGGCCCAGAAGGTCACACCAGTCCCCTGATCACAGAACTGGCCAGCCATCCCTTCTCCGGGCCAGTTAAGTCCCCTCCATGTTGCTGCAGCATCCAAGGCGGTTGTGTGTCGGCTGTTTCTTCAGCAGCAACAAAGGAAGCTGAGAGGGTCTAATGTATTTCCTCCCTCCCTTCTTCTCATCCTTCCCTTCCTCTCCTCTTTTTATTTCTCACATCCCTCCCTCCTTTCCTTCCTTCCTTCCTTCCTTCCTTCCTTCCTTCCTTCCTTCCTTCCAAGTCCTTCCAAAGGGCTTGCAAAGAGGCAGCCTTGAACGAGGAGGACTCTGCTGACCCCAAATCAAATAGCGTTGGGAAGCCCCTTTTTCAGGCTAACCCGTTTTACTAAAGAAAGCCTGACACAAGGGTCTAACCAGGCTCCCCTTGAGACGCAGCGCAGAGCCTCCCTCCAAGAGATGGTGAAGGGAGGGATCGCCAATCTCTCACTTCTCTCTAGTGCAGGAGAGGTGAGGTCTGGTGTGGAAAGGTTTCCTTCTCCACGTCGTCCATTGAAAAGCCAGTCGAGAACTGCTCAGCCCCCGAGGCCCAAAATGGTGCTTTGGGTCAGCCAGGCAC